GCATGCGGAAGGGGACTTTCCTGGAACTTTGTGACTTGCTGTCCCCTGCCCTGAAGCGCAAGGACACCCGCATGCGAGCAGCCCTGACTGTCCAGAAGCGAGTGGCCATAGCCCTCTGGAAGCTTGCAACGCCGGACAGCTACCGGTCAGTCGCGAACCACTTTGGCGTGGGCAAATCTACCGTGGGGGTTGTTGTCATGCAAGTAGCCAAGGCAATCGTCAAGGTACTGCTGTCAAAGGTAGTGACTCTGGGAAACGCGCAGGCCATCATAGATGGCTTCGCCGCGATGGGATTCCCAAACTGCGGTGGGGCTATAGATGGGACTCACATCCCTATCCTGGGACCGGGCCACCAGGCCAGCCAGTACATCAATAGAAAGGGCTACTTTTCAATGGTGCTGCAAGCACTGGTGGACCATCGGGGACGGTTTACAAACATCTACGTCGGATGGCCGGGCAAGGTTCATGACGCTCGCGTGTTCAGGAACTCTGGTCTGTTTAGACGGCTGCAGGAAGGTATTTACTTCCCGGACCACAAGATAACTGTTGGGGATGTGGAGATGCCTACAGTGATCCTCGGGGACCCAGCCTACCCGCTAATGCCCTGGCTCATGAAGCCCTATACTGGCGCCCTGGACACAGAAAAAGAACTCTTCAACTACCGGCTGAGCAAGTGCAGAATGGTGGTGGAGTGTGCTTTTGGCCGTCTCAAAGGGAGATGGAGAAGCTTACTCACTCGCTGTGATCTCAGCGAAACCAATATCCCCATCGTTATTGCAGCTTGCTGTGTGCTCCACAATCTGTGTGAGAGCAAGGGGGAGACCTTTATGGCGGGGTGGGAGGTTGAGGCAAATAGCCTGGCTGCTGATTACGCCCAGCCAGACAGCCGGGCGATTAGAAGAGCCCAGCGGGACGCGCTGTGCATCCGGGAGGCTTTGAAAGCCAGTTTCAAGGCTGAGCAGGGTACCCAGTGACTTTTAAGTTTGTGGACACAGAGGCAGAACTTGCCCCCGTTTCTTTACCCAGTTGCCGTCGACTATCCTCTCCACTTACATACCCCCTTCGCCCCCTTCCCAAAAAATAAAATCTGTTCTGTTTTGTTCATGGACACCGTTGTCTTTATTACTGTTTTCGCGGGAATGTTTTAAACCTGGGACGCAGACTGTGGCGGGGGGCGGGTTTAGGGTTGTGATGCAAATGATGCTTCTAAACTCCAGGAATGACAGGCTCCGCGGTGGTGGACTGGTTGTTTCAACGGAGCCTGCCAGCCCTCCTGGCCGGGACTGCGTGTATATGTCGGCTATGTGACTGTCTTGCAGGGGGAGGAGGGTTACAGATCCCCTGCTGCGCGGCTCTGTGATGCAGGGTAAGGACCGCTGCATAAGATCTGTAACTGCCCTCCCCCGCCACCAAGTCAGAGAGCAACACCACCGCCCCCACCACACAAAACATGAAAACCACCTCCCAGACTAACCAGGATAACTAGTCACTGCACTGTATATGTGCCCTGCTGCTGCACCTGCCCCCTGCTAAAGGTGACTGTCCTGTCCAATGACCAAGCCCCTTCCCCCCCCTTCAGACAGACTCCCCTCCAAAAGAAGAGGATGGAAACAGAAATGAACAGAAACGTATTCTTTATTAACAACCGCACATGGAACGGGGGGGTGAAACTTGGACGGGGTCTTGTGTGAGGCGGGTAGGAAAGGACTTTTCAAATTTTGGGGAATGAGAGCCTTCTAGTGGTAGAGCAGTCCGCAGGGGTGGAGTGAAATTTTTCACGGCCCCTTCCACCCCTCCGTGTTTGGACTTTGGGTGAGGGGGGTATGGGACTTGGTGGCGGGGCAGGGCAGTTACAGAGAGACTGCAGCGGGGCTCTCTCCTCCTGCCTCCGGTCCTGCAGAACATCCACAAGGCGGCGGAGCGTGTCCGTTTGCTCCCTCATTAGTCCAAGCAGCGTTTGAGTAGCCTGCCTGTCCTCCTGTCGCCACCTCTCCTCCCGTTCCATGTTTGCCCGGTGCATTTGGGACAAGTTCTCCCTCCACTGTGTCTGCTGGGCTGCCTGTGCTCGGGAGCATTCCATTAGTTCAGCAAACATGTCTTCCCGTGTCCTCTTCTTCCTCCTCCTAATGTGCGCTAGCCTCTGGGCAGATGTGGCTGTGGGAATTGGAAAAAGGGAGTGAATTCCTGAGACAGAGCAATGTATCTGTGAACAGAGAACATAGTCTTGCTCCGTGAACAAGACCATGCAGAGCACCTATCACACGCGCACTGAGGACAAGGTCGAATTTTCGGCCCTCGCCTACAGTGCCTGCGGTCTTGCTGTGGCGAGCTGAGGAGCAGGGCAGGACACCGGACTTTGTCTAGATGGCAAACATGGTAAGCCGTAGACTTGTGGCCGCTTAAAACTTTAAGAGTGGCACTGGCCTCCTTTCACATAGAAAGCAATGCGAGTCTCTGCTGGCAGCAATCCTGCAAGCATGAACTCTGGCCCTGTCCCACCCCCTCGCGGCTGTAAACCGCGTGGCTGTAAACCGGCGGTTGCAGTTCTGTAAAGGGACGAGCAAGCAGTCCCAATACTAACTTTCCCCTACCTAATTCACAGCAGGGAGTCATGCCTGACATCACCCTCCTGAAGGTCTCCGAGAGCCAGAAGGAGAAGATGCTACGGGACAGCCTGCAGAAACCGGGGCCATTTGCTGCACTGCTGTGCAAGGCCATGATCCCGGAGTACCTGCTGGCGTTGTGGCAGGGAAACGTGTCCTACCACGGGGGGCCTAATAAGCTCTCCCTGCCCAGGAACCTGCTGATGAGGCTGGAAAAACACCTGCAGGAGGTGTATGAGGAGTTCTCCCCGGAGGATCTCGCCTCTATCCCCGGTTACATTGACCAGTTCCTGGCTTAGGTGCCCTTGGAGGGACAAATGACTGCAGGGTTTTGGGCACTATAATCATGAAGCGGACATTGTGCAATTTTTTGAAAATGGTTCGGACTATATATTGAGGCGCCCAAAAAAAGACAAATCATGATACACTTTGCACTGATTCCCCTTTTGTTTGACTTTCCTGTTTACATGTTTTGAAGCACTTTACCCACTGTTCATATTTTCAATCTTCCTGTTTTGTTGCAAATAAATGTTTACATGTTTTAAAGCACTTTAGCTAATGTTAATATTTTAAATACGCCAGTTATGTTGTAAATAAATATTTAGATATTTAAAACACTTACAGCTTGATCCTTCCCCTGAATCTGTGTCTGGGGTAACGGCTGGGGAGGGTTGGTAGGGGATCTCTGTCAGGGTGATGAAGAGCTCCTGGCTGTCGGGCAAATCAGCGTTGTAAGCGCTGTCTACTGCCTCGTCCTCCTCATCTCCTTCCTCCTCTTCCCCGTCCGCTGAGGAACCGGTCGCGGACAATATCCCATCCTCAGAGTCCACGGTCACTGGTGGGGTAGTGGTGGCGGCCGCACCTAGGATGGAATGCAGTGCCTCGTAGAAACGGGATGTGTGGGGCTGGGATCCAGAGCGTCCGTTTGCCTCTTTGGTCTTCTGGTAGCCTTGTCTCAGCTCCTTGATTTTCACGCGGCACTGCGTTGCATCCCGGCTGTAGCCTCTCTCTGCCATGGCTTTAGAGATCTTCTCATAGATCTTTGCATTCCGTCTTTTGGAGCGCAGCTCTGAAAGCACGGACTCATCGCCCCACACTGCGATGAGATCCAAGACTTCCCGATCCGTCCATGCTGGGGCCCTCTTTCTATTGGATTGCACGGCCATCTCTGCTGGAGAGCTCTGCATCGTTGCCACTGCTGCTGAGCTCACCACGGTGTCCAAACAGAAACTGCGCTTCAAACTGCCCAGACAGGAAAAGGAATTCAAATTTTCCCGGGGGAGTGGCTGGTCAGAGCATCCGAGCTCGGACTGCTGTCCAGAGCGTCAACAGAGTGGTGCACTGTGGGATAGCTCCCGGAGCTATTAGCGTCGATTTCCATCCACACCTAGCCTAATTCGACATGGCCATGTCGAATTTAGCGCTACTCCTCTCGTTGGGGAGGATTACAGAAATCGATTTAAAGAGAGCTCTATGTCGAACTAAATGGCTTCCTGGTGTGGACGGGTGCAGGGTTAATTCGATATAACGGCGCTAAATTCGACATAAAAGCCTAGTGTAGACCAGGCCTTAGTGTCTTCTGTCCGCTATTGTCAAAGAGGAAAAAGCAGATGATGATCACAAATCATTTCCTTCAGAGACAAGTTGAATTAACAAAACATGCTCCTGAATCGCTTTGTACATATTGATGGGACTCAAACAAGAAAAATCTCTCATCAGAAAATATAGCTTTCCCTACAGGTCTACACAGCATCTTATTTCTCTCGCCCTCTGCTCTATTTTATTTCACTTTGCAATCATCTTGCTTCATTCTTTTTGTGAAAGATTCTATGAAGAATCATGGAGCACTGAATGGCATCCTCCTAGTCTCTCATTGTGTGTCATGTTTCACAGCTTCCTGTTAACACCATGATTCCTGAAAGACAGAGTTCATCTGACCTTAGGAGTGGGGAGAGAAGCTCCAATCATGCAAAGATTTAACTTCATTGCCATGAGTTGATGCATTGAAAGCAATGGAACGAGTGACTCATGGGAGTAACACAAAACATGTTCATAAGACTCTGTAGGATTGAGGCAAGACTGATCCTCTTTTCTGAATCTCAGAGAAAAATGCTTCCCTCTTATTTGTTCCATTTGGGGGGACAGAAGGAAAGAGGTGAAAGGTTTTGGTGCCATCCAAACCATTACAGAGACTCTTCATACAACTCAAAGTGGATGGCAAGTGGAGTTATAATTATAGACTAGAAAACAGCAAGATCAGCAGCTGCTGTTGCTTGCGTCTGTTCCCTGCTGTAACTGACAGCAGTGAGGGACTTGGCAAAAACAGACTTCCAGAAGTGGAAAGACATTTTAACCCCTGTGCTTGTCAGTCCACTCCTCCAGGGTCTCAGTAGTAAGCAAACCCCCAATAGCCTATGTTCCTAAGGTGAAGAAGGAGCAAAGACACTATTTCATACCTGAAGGCTTCTTCACTGGGGACATTTGAAGAAAAGAAAGGGTCTGGGATTTTCCTTCATGGTTGGGCTGCCACATCAGAATAGCAGGTTAGTGTACACAGAATGTGCTTAATGTTTTTTTTTTAATTGGACTTAATCTGTATATTTGAATCCCTCTCTCCACCATAATATAAAACAGAAAATAAAATGATAGAAATTTGATGGTTAATTTTGCACGTAGGCATTATTTATTTGTATATACTGTAATGTATCTACAATGTTATTAATTGCCATCCTTTTCTACGGTGGTTTCTATTTTAATTGTAATGCTTCCAATCCTGAAGTCTGTACCTGGACAAAACTCCCATTAACTTTGGGAGTAATGTAAATAGAATATTCTTTTATTTTTAGGCACCAATGCCAAAGGACTTCTGGTTGCCTTAGCAAAAGTACAATAAAATATAAGTCACAGTAACAGAGTAAATTCCAGAGAGGTAACCAATATTGAAGGGAAGGAAAAGCAGGATTACAGGTATGGGTCAAATTCTCTGTTGATGTAAATTGGTGCATCTGCAGTGATATCAATGGAACTGTGCCAATTTATACCAGAAGAGAATTTTGCCCTATATCTGCTAATGAGGTAAATAATAATAAAATATCTATATAAGGTATTTTATAGCACCAATCGCCATAGTATCTAGTGCCTAGTATCTGCAAGAGTAAAGCCATGAACCAGGAATATAGATCTTATTTATACCATGTCTTCCCATTGCTATGTATTGTATTTTATATATTAAAAAAGTATAATGGAGACTATGAACATGTTCCCAGAAAACCACACAAGTAGAGCACCAAATCTGTGCTTCTTGTGTTGTGAAACATTTATTCCCATATGAAGCGAAAGAAAATAGATATACTGTGATCATTCACTCTCCACTGGTCTAAAAGCAATTATGCTTAGTTTTACTAACACAAAAATACTGTGATAGTGCTTTTTAGCTAATATCCCTGAATTTATTGTGGCACCTGCAGTACAAATCCTCCTGGGGGTACTCATAGTTTCAGTCCTAGCTAGGGCTATAGCTGTGCTAACTTGGCTTTCACAATTCCAATAGAATTTCACTGGAGGTTCCCATTGGAAATATTTGTTGCCCTATTCATACTAGATCTCTTCTCATCATAACCATTTGGTGAAGCCACCTGTTCGGTTGGGAACTAGAATCGAGGCTGTTGACTTTTAATCTAGACTCCCCATGCTGACCCCCAAGCATTCTGGCATGCAAGACGTCACCTCTATCCACTGACCAGCCAGGATGTGAGCCCTTAGTTGCACTTATCAGTCTTCAATCGAAAAACGGATGTGGGGGGGAAAATCAGCAATAGCACATCTATCATTTAGAAGCCAAGGAATAATAACCATATATTCTAGGATTTTACAAGCTGCCAGGCCATTCTTCACACAAATCAGAACTCTCAGGAGAGACCATCGGTCAGAAATGGAATTCTTATGGGTGTCCCTTCCCCCTGTTTACTCCCCCTATGAATAAAAGAAGAAATTAGCAATTTTACAGCTAAATTTTCATGGTTTATTTTTATGCTCAGCATCAGAGGCCTAGCCAAGTTGTACACTATCAGGCAGCCCTTATGGTTTGATAGTTTCTCTTTTAAATTAAAGTAAATAGCCTACAGTGGCATAAAGAAAACATGCAAGAGTGGCATTTATGCTAGAGCAATGCAAGTGACTTTATACAATCATTAACTGGAGATTACTGCTACTTCCTTCCTAAAATGCTGAGCAAAGTTCTCCTCTCCATATTTGTAGTTAAAGTACACATCTCACCAATATCCCTAGGTGCATAAACAACAAAAAGAGCCATATAGCACTTTGACAAAGTCAACAGGAAAACATTTTTACCACTACCAAATATAAGCTAAATTCCTAGCCCTCCACTCAGGCTGCTAGGGTTGCCAATTTTGGCTGGACATATTCCTGGAGGTTTCATCACATGACATAATCTTTAATTAAAGATTAATCTTTAATTACTGGAGATTCCAGCACAATCCTGGAGAGAAACCTACAATGTGCTCTGTGAAGATCTGAGAAAAAAGACGGTTACTCACCGTTGTAACTGTTGTTCTTCGAGGTGTGTTGCTCATATCCATTCCAGTTAGGTGTGTGCGCGCCGCGTGCACGATCGTCGAAAGATTTTTACCCTAGCAACACCCGGTGGGTCGGCTGTGGAGCCCCCTGGAGTGGCGCCGTTATGGCGCTGGATATATACCCCAGCCGACCCAGCGCCCCCTCAGTTCCTTCTTGCCGGCTACTCCGACAGTGGGGACGGGGGGCGGGTTTGGAATGGATATGAGCAACACATCTCGAAGAACAACAGTTACAACGGTGAGTAACCGTCTTTTCTTCTTCGAGTGCTTGCTCATATCCATTCCAGTTAGGTGACTCCCAAGCCCCACCTAGGTGGCGGGGTCGGAGTGAGACATTGCTGTGTGCAGAACCGCTGACCCGAAAGCAGCATCGTCTCTGGATTGTTGCACCAGCGCATAGTGAGTAGCGAATGTGTGGACCGATGACCACACTGCAGCTCTACAAATGTCCTGGATCGGTACTTGAGCCAGGAAGGCAGTCGAGGAGGCCTGGGCCCTCGTGGAATGAGCAGTGAGGCGTGGCGTCGGTACACCGGCCAGGTCGTAGCAAGCACGAATGCAGGACGTAATCCAAGAGGACAGGCACTGTGAAGAGACCGGTGAGCCTTTCATCCGGTCGGCTACCGCAATGAAGAGTTGCGTCGTCTTCCTAAATGGCTTTGTACGCTCAATATAGAAAGCCAGGGCCCTGCGAACGTCTAAAGAATGCAAACGCTGGTCTTGACGAGTAGCGTGCGGTTTCGGATAGAAGACCGGGAGAAATATATCCTGGTTTACGTGGAAAGGTGACACCACCTTCGGAAGAAAGGCAGGGTGGGGGCGAAGCTGCACCTTGTCCTTGTGGAACACCGTGTAAGGGGGCTCGGATGTCAGCGCCCTAAGTTCCGAGACGCGCCGTGCTGAGGTGATGGCTACGAGGAAGGCTGTCTTCCAAGACAAGTACAGGAGTGAGCAGGTCGCCAATGGTTCAAACGGAGGCCCTGTGAGCCTGGAGAGGACGAGGTTGAGGTTCCACGTCGGAACCGGCTGTCGTTGCTGTGGGTACAGCCGGTCTAAGCCCTTGAGGAATCTAACGACCATCGGGTTAGAGAAGACCGAGGACGTGAGTTCTCCTGGGTGGAAAGCGGAAATAGCGGCGAGGTGAACCTTGATTGAGGATGTCGCCAAGCCTTGCTGTCTTAGGGACAGGAGGTATTCCAGTATCAAGGGGATAGGAGCCTGCGAGGGAGACGTAGCTCGTTGCTCACACCAACAGGAGAACCTCTTCCACTTGGCTAAATAAGTGGTCTGCGTAGAGGGCTTTCTACTTCCCAGCAGGACCTGTTGGACGGCCTGCGAGCATTGCCGCTCTGAGCGACTCAACCATGAAGCATCCACGCCGTGAGGTGGAGCGACTGCAGGTCGGGGTGACACAACCGGCCGTGGTCCTGAGAGATGAGATCCGGACTCAAGGGGAGCGTGATCGGCCTCTGTACTGACAGCTCTAGCAGTGTGGTGTACCAGTGCTGTCTCGGCCAAGCGGGAGCGACTAGAATTACCCGTGCCTGGTCCCTGCGGATCTTGAGCAGCACCCTGTGGACCAGCGGGAATGGAGGAAAGGCGTAGAACAGATGGTCTTTCCATGTCATGAGGAAGGCGTCTGACCGAGAGCCCGGGGCTCGCCCGTGTAGGGAGCAGAACGCCTGGCACTTCCTGTTGGCCCGAGATGCGAACAGGTCGATCTGGGGAAACCCCCACCTCTGGAAGACGGAATAGATGATGTCCGGGCGAATCGACCACTCGTGCGTCTGGAAGGACCTGCTGAGACGGTCCGCCAGCGTATTCTGGACTCCAGGCAGGAATGACGCCGTGAGATGTATCGAGTGGGCGATGCAGAAGTCCCACAGGCGAATGGCCTCTTGGCATAGGGGAGATGAGCGGGCTCCGCCTTGCTTGTTGATGTAAAACATGGCCGTGGTGTTGTCGGTGAGAATCAGCACGCAACGGCCCTGTAGGAAGTTGAGGAAAGCCTGACAAGCCAGGCGCACCGCCATCAGCTCTCAGACGTTGATGTGCAGGGTTAGTTGGGACGCGGACCACAGGCCTTGGGTATGGTGCTCCCCCAGGTGAGCGCCCCAGCCTAGAGATGAAGCGTCCGTAACTAGGTGGAGGGAGGGCTGTGGGGCGTGAAAGGGCACTCCTGCACAGACCGCCGTGCGATCCGTCCACCAGGCGAGAGAGGCCAAGACCGAGGCCGGAACCGTGACCACCATGTTCAGGTCGTCTCGATGAGGACGGTAAACCAATGACACCCAAGTCTGCAGTGGGCGAAGTCGCAGCCTGGCGTGCCTGGTTACGTAGGTACACGAGGCCATGTGGCCCAAAAGGGCAAGGCATGATCTTATGGTGGTAATTGGGAAGGCCCTGAGTCCTTGAATGACGCTTGAGATGGTATGAAAGCGGCTGTCTGGCAGGATGGCTCGGGCACGTCTGGAGTCCAGGATTGCTCCAATGAACTCTATCCTCTGAGTTGGTACTAGAGTGGACTTCTCTCTGTTGAGTAGAATGCCCAGCTCGTGGAAAGTGTGTGTCACTATGTGGACATGAGCCTGCACTTGGTCTCTGGTGCGGCCGCGTACCAGCCAGTCGTCCAAGTACGGGAACAGCTGTATCCCTTGTCGACGAAGGAAGGCCGCGACGACTGCCAGACACTTTGTGAACACCCTGGGAGCCGAGGACAAGCCGAAGGGAAGGACTGCGAATTGGTAGTGCACTGTGTTTACTACAAATCGCAGGAAGCGCCTGTGGGGCGGATAAATCGCTATATGGAAATAAGCATCCTTCATGTCGAGGGCGGCGAACCAGTCTCCAGGATCCAGTGAAGGGATGATGGTCCCCAATGACACCATGCGGAACTTCAACTTTACTATGAATTTGTTGAGTCCGCGCAAGTCTAAGATGGGCCTTAGACCCCCTTTTGACTTGGGTATCAGGAAGTAGCGGGAGTAAAACCCCCTGCCCCTTAGCTCCGATGGAACCTCCTCTATGGCCCCCATAGCGAGGAGCCCAAAAACCTCCTGTGTAAGGAGTTGCTCGTGAGAAGGGTCCCTGAAGAGGGACGGGGAGGGGGAGTGGGGGGGGGGGGCGAGGAAAACTGGAGGGCGTATCCCCTCTCCACCGTGCGAAGGACCCAGCGGTCCGATGTTATAAGAGACCAAGCACGGTGGAAACGGGAGAGGCGATCCCGGAAGGGGGGAACCGAATCCTGGAAAACGGTTGAGGTGCCGTCCTCGACCGCACCTTCAAAAGGTTTGCCTAGGCCCTGAAGGTGGCCTAGGCTGGCCCTGGTTCTGACCGGGTTGAGGGCCGGTCGACCTTCGCCTACCGCCTCGACCCCGCCTCCTAGCAAAGTCCTGTCTTGGACGAGGCGGGGGAGGGTAGAACCGCTGAGGCTGGGGCCTGAAGGGTCTGCGCTGAGGCCCTGGGACATGCATCCCCAGGGAGCGCATCATTGTCCGGGAGTCTTTGAGATTTTGGAGCCTAGAGTCCGTCTTCTCCGAAAAAAGGCCCTGGCCCTCAAACGGAAGGTCCTGCAGGGTCTGCTGCAGTTCAGGTGGCAAGCCTGACACCTGGAGCCAGGAGATTCGTCACATTGCTATCCCCGACGCCAGGGTCCTAGCGGCCGAGTCCGCTATATCAAGGGAGGCCTGCAGGGAGGTGCATGCCACCCGCTTGCCCTCCTCTACCAAGGCCCCGAACTCTTCCCTCGATTCCTGGGGAACCAGCTCTTTAAATTTCCCCATCGAGGACCACGTATTAAAGCCGTAGCGGCTCAGGAGCGCCTGCTGATTCGCCGCCCGCAGTTGCAGCCCGCCAGCCGAATAGACCTTGCGTCCGAACAAATCGAAGCGCTTAGCATCCTTCGATTTGGGCGCAGCAGCCTGCTGGCCATGGCGCTCCCGTGCATTGACTGATGAGACCACCAGTGAGCACGGTTGGGGGTGAGTGTACAAGTACTCATATTCCTTGGAGGGCACAAAGTACTTCCTCTCAACCCCTCTGGCCGTGGGCGGAATAGAGGCCGGGGTTTGCCAGATGGTGGTGGCGTTCGCCTGAATAGTGCGGATCAGCGGTAATGCCACCCTAGATGGAGCATCCGCTGAAATGATCTGCACAATGGGATCATGGACCTCCGCAATCTCCTCCACCTGGAGGTCCATATTGCGAGCCATGCGGCGTAGCAGGTCCTGGTGGGCCCGAAGGTCTATAGGAGGCGGCCCAATGGCGGATGTACCCGCTACGGCCTCATCAGGCGAGGACGAGGAGGACGCCCCCGGTGGCAAGGGGTCCAATGGCTGATCCTGCTCCAGGTGTTCCTGGAGTTGGGCATCGCCTGCCCCCTGGTCCAGGGCCTCTGCTGGTGTGGGCACTGGAGCCTCCACGTCCCTTGGAGGAGGGCGGGAGATGGTGGACTCTGGGGCCCTGGGCTCCGAACGGCCCGAGCGGGAGGCAGATAGCGGAGCTCCTTGTGCCTGATGGTAGGCCCAAAGAGTCCAGAAGGACCAATGCGCAGGTCCTTGCATAGGGTCGTCGGTCTCCTGCAGGTGGCCGGCCTCCACTGCATCAGACAAGCGCGACGCCGATCTCGACGGCCACGGCGGTGCCGAGCCCGACGCCGTCGGCACCGGATGGTACGGTGCCGATCGGTGCCGGGCGTAAGGCAATCTGTCCCTGTGCGGTGCCGGAGAGCGGTGCCGGGATCTGGATCGGTGCCGGTAGTCCCTCCGGTGCCGGGATCCCGATCTGGAACGAGACGACGATCGCGAAGAGGCGTGGTACCGGGAGCGGCCCCTCGAGCCCGAGTGGCACTCATACCGGTGCCGGGAGCTGCGTCTCGAGCCCGATCGGTGCCGGTCGTCGCGACGGCGCCGAGATGTTGAACGGCGCCGCGAAGAGGATCTGGGCCGCGAGTACGACCGGTGCCGAGGTGATATTCGGCACCGGGACTCCGAGCGGCGTCGGGACCTGCTCCGGGATCTGGAGCGGTGCCGAGAGACTTGAGCTGGCGACGGTGGGCGCATCAGGGCAGGCTTGCCTCTGGACTGCGGCACACGTGGAGCCACCGGTGCCGGGAGTTGAGACGGCGCCGGCTCCGTGAGGGCGATCAGGTCCCTTGCCGTAGCAAAAGTCTCCGGGGTGGAAGGGAGACAAGGTTCCACCACCAGCCTTGGTGGTGAAACAGTCCGCACCGGACTCAACGGCCTCGGTGCCGGAGTCGACGGTGTGGCTGCCTGCCTTTGGCGGTCCAACTGCAGACGCGGCTCTACCCCCGGCACCGGGGGAGCCGGTATCTTCACGGCAGCAACGTCCAGCGCCTTGCTGGCCTTCTTATGTCCCGGAGAAAGGGATTGGCGCCGAGGCTCTTTAGGCGGGCGCGGTGCCGACGTCGGTCGGTGCCAAGCTGTCTTTTCCGCCGCACGGGTCGGGCCCGCCGGGGCGCTGCGCACCGAAGCGCTCGGTGCCGGGACAGGGCGCGCCGAGGGAGGATCCGGACTCAGAGCCGCCTTCATCAGGAGCTGTCGGAGTCTAAAGTCTCGCTCCTTTCTTGTCCTCGGCTTGAAGGCCTTGCAGATAGGGCACTTATCTGCGGGATGAGCCTCCCCAAGGCACTTCAAGCAGGAACTATGCGGGTCGCTTGTTGGCATATGCTTCCCGCAGGACGCGCACGGCTTAAAGCCAGGAGCCTTGGGCATGGGCCCGGCTGTGCGCCGGGGGGGAAAAGGGGAAAAACACCCCCTAAACCTCCGATAACAATATTACAACTATATATACACTACACAACTAACTAACTAAGAACTTGAATAACTATATATACAACTAACTATAATAACAATAATGAGAAGCTAGGGATAGTGAATAGCAGCTATGCCGCGGTTCACTGTTCCAACGACCGTCAGGGGCGGTAAGAAGGAACTGAGGGGGCGCTGGGTCGGCTGGGGTATATATCCAGCGCCATAACGGCGCTACTCCAGGGGGCTCCACAGCCGACCCACCGGGTGTTGCTAGGGTAAAAATCTTCTGACGATCGTGCACGCGGCGCGCACACACCTAACTGGAATGGATATGAGCAAGCACTCGAAGAAGAATAGCTAGGTCTTGGACTGTGACCTAACTTGGGAACTGCACTGTTGGAGTAGAAGAAGGCACCAACAAGACTGTCCTACCACCAGCCACTCAAATATCAGGGCTGTTAGAAAAGCCCCCAAGGTGATCTCACTTGCTGCAATGACATAAAATAGGAGAGGCAGTCCCTAGATCACATTGGGGTGTATAGATCATACCAGAGCTGGATGAAAATGGGGCAGGGAAATTCATGATTTTGTCCTTCTGTTTTTTCTGTTGAAATTTTGAACAAAAAATTCAACAAAATTGGAAATTTAGAAAAATGTCATGAAGTCCTAGTCAGTCACTTGAACCGCAGCTTGGAGCAAGTTGGAAGCTAGTAGAATCTTTGAAGAATAGGTGTTGTATGCTCCAGGTAGCTGACGCTGCCAAGCAGGCAGACGGGAAGGTACATCTGCCCTGGCTGGAGCTTCTGGATGGTCTTCAAGAGTAATCCCGTTGCAGTAATCCAATCTGCAGGTCACAAATACACTGCTAACTATAGCTATATATATATATATGGGTTAAGATACACTCTAAAACACTGTCAATTTCTTGCTTGTTTTTACTTTTCTAGAAACAACCTGCCAAGACAATGACAGTCACTTACTCCAGTAAAGTAGCAAATGCCACCTTCTTTGGATTTCACAGATTACTCCTCAAGTGGAAAGGCAGCATCTACAAATTGCTGTATAGGGAATTTATTGCCTTTGCTAGTCTTTACACAGCAATAAGTGTGTTGTACAGGTACATGTGTTTCCATGTGACATATTCATGTCTCCTTCTTAATCAGAATCAAATGCTATGTAAAAGGCACTGTCTCACTTCAAATCCTTTGGCTGATGACTGATTTTGTACTAAATAACATGACCTTTTGCTTAGACCTTTTTAATGTCATTTATATCTCACATGATTTTTGGAATGTTAAATTACTATTTAACCATCATCTTCAAGTGATTCTAATTTTAGCCGCATGCTAGCTGATGATTGTTGTGTATATGTCATCTTCCAAAAATGTTATGCCATATAAACATCTGCAGGACTCCTATGTCATTACATGGTTTTTGCCACTCTAACTCTGCACTGACTAAATGACCTGTTTTGAACTGCGAAGTCTAGACATTGTCATACTTATGCGTCTATATCATCACCTGTTAATAGATGGCAATTTAATAGGAAATGCTGAAAGGTGATTATTTTATGGTCCATTTATGTAGCCCTTTCTCAGGAAATAGGAAGTTGAGGTTTGCCTGAGTAAGGACTGCAATAAGAGCCCATAGTTTTTAAGAGCCCAATCTCGCAAGGTGCCAAGCATCTACTCAGTAGAAATTGGAGGCACTCAAGTCGGGATCCATTAAGAGACCTAGGTATTGCAATGCTGAGAGCCATGGCACCTTACTTTTAGGCACCTAGAAAATCCAGGAGCACCACTCTGATCCACAAAGCCGAGTTAGGCGACCAGGATCCCTATACAATAAATGGAGAGAGATAGGTGCTTAAGAATGTGATCCACAAAAGCTCACACACTATGCCAGGAGTCGCCTGAGTTAGCCAATGGGAAATGCTGATAAAAGGGGTGTGTGCTAAGTCCTGCCCATCCCCTCAAGGTAGGAACCTAAATCTGGGCTGCAAGGAAGTGCCTATTTTTGCTTAGCGATTCACAAATGGGCATCTTCCCCCTGCAGTCAGACAGCCTAGGTGCCTAACTTAAGGCATTTCTTAAGGCACCTGCCTTGCTCTACACAAAACAGCTGAAGAAGGAGTTGGTGATCCTGCTGCACCCCTGAGTGACATAGTAATGCCATCCTAACCCCAGGCATAGACAGCTTCTCCCGTCGACATACCTCTCTGGGAGGTGGAGTACCTACACCGACGGGAGACGCTCTCCCATCGGCATAGGTAGCGTCTTCATTAACCACTACAGCAGCGCACTGCACCACTGCAGAGCTGTACGTGTAGACAAGCCTTAAGTCTGGGATTTAGGCACCTAAGTTCTTCTGTGGATCCCTCCCTTACTACCTCACAGGAGAGTCTCAACAGCAGCACCTTGCAGGATCAGTGTGTAAGTCAGGGTGAAATTTATCCCTGTGCAAAAGGCCAGCACAAGACCTATGTGACACTTAAGTCCCAATTAATTCCTCAAGTGTGACTTAAGCGGGGTGTATGTAGGGTGACCAGATGAGAGGAAGAAAATATTGGGACACCGGGGGGGGGGGGAAAAAAAAAAAACCCCAGTGCTGCCAGCAAAGCAAAAAAACCCACAAACTGCCGGCGGAGTGAAATATCGGGACAAATTGCGTCCCAACCAGAGATTGGTTGGGACGCAGGACAAACAGCTAAAAATCGGGACGGTCCCGATTTTATTGGGACGTCTGGTCATCCTAGGTGTATGTCTCATGCTAGTCCTCTGCCCATGGTAAATCTCACCTCGGTGAAGACAAAATTTCTTAATGGAATGAAGACTTTCACTGATAAAATACGTGGGATGACTTCAAATTACTTTTCAGTCCCTCTTTAGAACTAGAACTGGAGCTCAACATTTTTTTTTCCATGTAAAACAAGTTCTTTGGACTTACTTTGTCTATATGGGCAATCACTAATCTTCCAAGATATAGAGGCATACAGCACGGTATAGCTGGTAGCAAGACTAAATCATTGGTATGTAAAGAAACAACAACAAAAACCTTTCATTTAAAAAAAATCTATTCTTACTTTAAAACTGTACATAAAAACTCTCCCCTTTATTCAGTGTACACTGTGGAAAGCATTCTATATGAACAGCAGATTTTATTTTACAAATGTAAAACAACCCCAAATATTTGCCATGTATATCTTTTATATGGGATAAGATAACTGTAAGATGTTATATATAAATAAAATAATTGCTTATGTTTAAGAATGTTGTATTTCATTAGCTATCATTCTACACTGTGCTCCATTCTTTTTTCTGCCATACAGCTTATAGTTGCCTTAGTTTAAATATATTTGATTTTTTGTGCATTTTAACTTATGGCCAAGACAAATTTCTTAGTAGTAAATGAGATATACCCCCTGATGTGGAAACAGTAGTTTTCACAAAACAGCAAGTACAGATTAGTGCCCCTTTCCAGTTTCAGAAGATCTGATCAGATCACTTTTATTAAGTAGTCCAGTTGAAAAATGGGACAAAAATACATTTGCTGAAGTAGTTTGCACCAAGACCATTGATTTGTGTTAGGTGGCATGCTACAGGTGAATAGCACAAGTGGTTTTTGTCACTTCAGTAATGAGAAATATTTTATGACTAGCGAATAATATTCCTCCACCTGTCAGCTCCCTTATTACATGCTACAAATATTAACACCCTAAATGTTCATCAATTTAACTCAAAGATTCATCTGTGCACATTAGGCAAGATCACTCCTAGTTTCAGTTATCTGGTTATTTATACTTAATTGTCTTCACTTTATATCCGAGGTGTGCAGCGGTATTACAAAGGGATATATACATTTTATTTTTGCTACAGATTTTTTCTTACAGGAAACCAAAAACGGTTCTTTGAAAAATTATCAATTTACTGTGACAAATATGCTGAACAAATCCCAGTCACCTTTGTGCTTGGTAAGTACAGTGTACCTATGGAAAGAATCCACAAAGCTGCCTCCATTAGGATGTCACAAATGGCAATGCATGGAAGTATTTCAGAGCTGAAAGGCATGTTGGAAATCTGTCTCACAATAAAACCACTGCCATCCATTAAGGTTGCCTTAAAGTCAATTTGCTTTTGTCAAGTCAACACCACATATGCTTGAATTATTATTTCACTATTGGAAGATTTACGTTTTTATTCACTAACTGTGTTTGTTTAAATAACTATCTGAGCCTGATCCTGTGAGGTGAGTACCCTTCACTCCCATTTCAGTGAATGGGTGTTGTGAGTGCTCAACATCTTGCATGAGGCACTTAGAACCTTACAGGATTCGGCCTTTGGAATGTAATAGCTACTTAATAATTGGCTTTAACTGTATCATTTTGTGCATATTTTATAACAATTATTCTGGCAAATGAAGTTACCTTACAGCCTAGATAACATCCTACAGAATGAACTAAAACTCAACATTAGAGGATCTGAGTGTATGTCAGTTTTGCAGCAAGAACAGTGATGTTGATATACTTTTTTAACATGCAGGATTCTACGTTACTTTGGTGGTGAACCGCTGGTGGAACCAGTTTGTGAATCTGCCGTGGCCAGACAGACTTATGTTCTTGATCTCTAGCAGCATTCAGGGAAGAGATGAATACGGGCGCTTACTTAGGAGAACTCTAATGCGTTATGTGAATTTAACTTCCCTGATCATCTTCCGCTCAGTGAGCACAGCTGTATACAAAAGATTTCCAACCATGGACCATGTGGTAGAAGCAGGTATTGTCAATTTCCTTTCCCCAATAAGCTCTGTCCTTTTGACTACAGATGGGGATGTTGGAGAGCTGCCTTGTATTTTCTTCTCTTTAACCCCTTATCCCTGTCAGACCGCCCCATGTCAAAGCCACCCACTGTCAGAGAAGGATTAGATAAAATGCTCTTAAGAGTCCACCATTGCTAAATTCTTTATCTAGGTCCATTTTAGAACAAGATGAGGCCCTTATGACTGAGCATGCTACATCTCCTCTGCACTCAGCCTTTCTCAGCCAGGGGAGTGAGAGGATGACAGAGTGAATTTAAAAAAAAATTTTTTTTACAAAAATTTTAAAAAGATTTTTTTATTTAAATTAAACATGAGTTTATTTTTAAAACAACCGAATTTACAATTAAATTTGAAATTCTTACAACCTATGTTAAGGCCTAAACTTACTATAATCTAATAAAATCATTTAAATTCAGTTAAATGAATAATATTAAATATTACATCCTTGCTGCCAAAGTTTCAAAGAAAGTCAAACCACTGAAGTGGTGGAAGTGACTGGTGGAAGCACGAGGATTGAATAAGGACTGGGAATGGCTGAGCCATTACAAACATTGAATCTATCTCCCCTTGTAAGTATTCTCACACTTCTTATCAAACTGTCTGTACTGAGCTATCTTGATTATCACTTCAAAAGTTTTTTTCCCTCTTACTTAATTGGCCTCTCAGAGTTGGTAAGACAACTCCCACCTGTTCATGCTCTCTGTATGTGTGTATATATATCTCCTCAATATATGTTTCACTCTATATGCATCCGAAGAAGTGGGCTGTAGCCCACGAAAGCTTATGCTCTAATAAATTTGTTAGTCTCTAAGGTGCCACAAGTACTCCTGTTCTTTTTGCGGATACAGACTAACACGGCTGCTACTCTGAAACCAACTAGTGAGAATTAACCCTTCTTTAGGAAAATAACTAAAAATTCCAAACACTAAACAAGATTAAAATCATGGTTTAACCCATGATTTTAGTCTGTTTGATTTAAATCAATCCATCCTGGAAGCTGAGTTTGGGAATGGTACCTGGATCTGTTGCCTGGTAGCGTACAACATCATTTATAAGCAAATAGGCCAGCCCAATAGGTATTGTCATTTTTGAGTGGTGCACGGAATAATGAGATGGCATCTTTTATCCCTTCTCTTAGGAAATGCCCTTTTCTAATGTTCTGGTGACTTAGTTCCCATGACCACCACTACACCTCATAAGAAATGGGTTCCCCCCCAACCCCTAAGAACATGTATTATCCCAATGTCTACCAAGGAGCATACACATGCTTCAAGGCAGAAGCTAGTCACTAGCTAAGCCAAAATAAATTCCCTTTCCAACCTCCCTGCTGCACAGTTAAGTGCCTGGTGTGGTCTTATACCTTCTTCTGAAGTATTTGGAATTGGCTGTTGTCAGAGACAGGATACCAGACTAGATGATGATTGGTCTATTCCGACAGGACAACTCCTGTGTTCTTTCTATGGTGTCTTGTAAACTGTATTATTTTGGGAAACAACAGTAAGTTATTGATGTTATGCTATGTTAAAATATGCTGTTTATATACACATGAGAGTTTTAGAATATTTAAGAAAAAACTCCCAGCCGATTACATCTTTCTTATTGACAGAGCCAGCTCAGGTTGATGTCTTCCTTTTTCCAAAATTATGTTTAATTTTTAAATCCTTTTCCTAGCATTTTTCAACAGCAAGTTGTTTACCTGAGCCTGAGAGGTCAGTGAAGCTTTTGTCATTCCTCCTAGCCAACTACTCTGAATACACACAGGAAAATTACAGCAATTCCTGCAAGCTAACCCACCTCTGCCTCTCTTTGCTAAAGACAGCCTGTTCTTAAAGATACAGCATATGAGTACTGTACATACATTGCTGTAGATTGGTGTTTCTTAACAGGTGGAGAAAATATTCTACCATAGTGTCCCTGAACAAGTCATGACAATATAATCAACATGATACATCTGAATATATCTTATCCCACAAATATTTCGCAGCTACAGTACTGAACACTTGAGGTGAGATTCTGCTCATCTTTCTCATGTTGAGTAAAATACAATACTCCATAATTAGTCCCATTCACAGTTAGCTATGGCTTTATGGAACAGAGTACTTGTTGATCCTGCATTCAGTATAATCAATGGTGGCAGAATCTAACCCTTAAAGAGCATCAGTAATTATGGAAGCCACTTGTGCCATTTTTTCACCTCGCTGTCAAACTGAAAATTGTTAAAGCAAAAATATTGCTACACATTTGCTTTTCCTGCAAGCATATTTCATAAATTCATAGACTAGATTTTAAGGCCAGAAGGGACCATTATGATCATCTACTCTGACCTCCTACATAACACAGGCCATAGAATCTCATCCAGTGATTCCTGCCTCAAGCCCATAACTTCTGTTTGAGCTCTAGTGTACCTTTTAGAAAGATCTAAAGACTACAAGTGATGGAGAATCCTCCATGTTCCTAAGTAAATTGTTCCAATGCTTAGTCACCCTCACTGATAAAAATTTGCATCTTATTTCTAGTCTGAATTTGTCTGAGTTCAGCTTCCAGACATTGGCTCACATTATGCCTTTTTCTGCTCGAGTAAAGAGCCAAAGAAATCCCTTCCCCACCGAGGTGCTTGTAGAGTACAAGTAAGTCACCTCTTAACCTTCTCTTGGATAAATTACACAGACTAAGCTTCTTAAATCTCTCACAGTAAGGTGAATTTTCCAAATCTCAAATCCTTCTTGTAGCTCTTTGTTGAACTCTTTCCAATTTTTCAAGATCCTTTTTGAATTGTGGACACAGTATTCCAGTAATGGTTTCACTAATGCCACAGACATAGGTAATACGCCCACCCTCCTCCTAGTTGATATTCCCCTGCTTATGTATCCAAGAATTGCGTTTTCTCTCTTAGCTACAGCATCACCCTGGGAGCTCATGTTCAGTCAGTTACCATGACCCTCAAGTCCTTTTCCATGTCACTGCATTTCAGAATACTGTATCCCAACTTGTAAGATCTACAGTCTTTGTTCCTAGATGTCTGACCTTGCATTTCAGTGTGTTAAAATGCATGTTGTTCAAATGAGGGCACCTCAACAAGTGATCTAGATCACTCTGTATAATTTACCTGTACCCACCATTATTTACCAGCTTTGATTTTTTATTTTCTTCCAAAGCATTGATAAAGATATTGAATAGTTTTGGACCAAAAACAGACCCAACTATAAACATCTCCACTGAATGATAATTCCCCATTTACAATACTTTTTGACATATATCAGTTAGCTAGTTTTTAATCCATTTAATATGGGCTACAATGATTTTGTATGGATTTTGCTCATGGGTGGTGCATCACGGAGGCTGGGGGAGGCTAAGCCTCCCTAAACCTCCACTAATGCTCCCTGCCATGGCCCCAGACTGGGCCACAGTGGGACTCAGGGCTCCTCTGACCGACCAGGGCTCGGGGTGGCTCAGGCGAACAAAGCAGAGATGGCTCAGGTGGGCAGGCCAGGGCTCAGATGGGCCTCCTCCAGCCGTGGTGGGGGACTCAGGGCTCCTTTGGCCCCAGTGGACGAGAGCAGGGGGAGGGCGGGAGAGGGGTGGAGTGGGAGTGGGCTTTGGGCAGAAGGAGCGGGGCAAGGGGATAGCCTCCCTGAATGGGGTGTTCACGCACCACCCATGATTTTCCTAATTTTTCAACAGACTGTCACACAAGACTAAGTCAAATGCCTTACAGAAGTCTATGATATCAATACAGTTACCTTTATCCACCAAACTTTTCTTCTCAAAAAAATTACATTGTTTATTTGAAAAAACCTATTTTCCATAATACCATGTTGATTGACATTAATTATGCTATCATCCTTTAATTCTTTACTGATTGCATCGCATACACCTTTCCATGCTTTTACCCAGAATTGCTATTGATGCCAACACTGTACTTCAAAAATACGGGACAGACCTCAGACGTCCCAGTCTTGAATTGAGCTTCTGGGGCAAGTCTCTTCTCCTCCCCATCCCTCCGAGGGCCTCTGAGGGTATGTCTACACACAACTAGACACCCAGGGCAGGCCCATGCCAGCCGACTCAGGCTCATGGGGCTCGGGCTGTGGGGTTGTTTCATTGCTGTGTAGGCTTCTGGGCTTGGTCTGGAGCCCGGGCTCTCCAGCTCTGGGTACTGCAGAGAACACAGGGCTCGCTAGGCCAGGCAGCCGCTGTGGCTCCTATTCATGTTCCATGTGAGTGCCAGGAGCTGAGTCAGAGACTGCAGTTGTTGGCCTCTGCCTGCAGCAGCACTGTACACTGCCGGGGGTGGGGGCTGCACGAATGGTATGGCCTGAGGAAGGCAGCAGCAGAAGGAGGCTTCACTGCAGCCAGCAGGGGCACTATTTCAGATTTCAATGGGGGGGCAGTTGTCAGAGGGGGTCCAGAGACAAAGGGGCAACTGGACTAAATTTGAGTGGCGTTGTGACTCCGTGCACCAGGTCAAGTTGCCAACCGTTGGAGCGCCACTCCATCCTGGATTTCAGGTGCCAGAGTGCCACTCCAGACCACTCCAGTGGCACTACTTCCCTGGTTGAAATATGGGATAAAAGGTGTCCCATACTGATTTAGTAGTAAGGGAAGGCAATTTTTTATTTAAATAAGGGATATCTCTTATAATACGGAACTACTGGCAACCCTAATATCAGCTTAACTGGCCTATAGTTACCTGGGTCATCCTGTTTACGCTTTAAAATATTGGCACAACATTAGTTTTTTTCCCAGTCTTCTGGAACTGTCCCAGTATTCCAAGATTTGCTAAAAATCAGTATTAATGGTTCATGAGCTCCTCAGCCAATTCTTTTAATACTCTTGGGTGCAAGTTACCTAGTCCTGCCAATTTACAAATGTTTACCTTTAATAGTTGCTGTTTTACACCCTCCCTAGTTATTGATTGAACAGAAAGTATTTCCTTTATCACTGTAATGAAAATAACTAGTTCGGGACTACTTGGAGGCTTGTTTCACCATAACCTTCATCAATGATTAAACATGTTCATACTGTAGCAATCCAGTGCATTCAGTGATAAGGACAATGCTCCCTGCCATTAATGTCCCTCAGACAAACTGTTTAATCATTAATGGATATAAGCATAAATATCTTAACTTTAAAAATAATGGCTGTGGCACATAATAGTCTAGTCTCCAGTGGTCTGTAACACTTTGGTCTAATTGTGGTTGTTGGGTTTCGTGTGTGTGTGCTGGGTGATGTAGGTAGCCTGTGATATCGAGGATGTCAGACTAGATCAGGGGTGGGCAAACTTTTTGGCCCGAGGGCCACATCGGCATTGCGAAACTGTATCGAGCGCCAGGTAGGGAAGGCTGTGCCCGAACAGCCTCACCTCTGCTCCCTATCTGCCCCCTCCCACTTCCCGCCCCCTGACTGCCCCCGTCAGAACCTCCGACCCATCCAACCCCCCCGCTCCTTGTCCCCTGTCCGCCCCCTCCTGGGACTCCCGCCCAACCGCCCCCAGGACCCCATCCCCTATTCAAGCCCCCCTTCTCCCTGCCCCCTGACTGCCCCCGGAGACCCCCTGCCCCTTATCCAACCTCTCGCCCCCTTACCATGCTGCTCAGAGCAGCAGAAGCTCGCAGCCCCACCGCAGCCAGCCACGCTGCCCGAGAGGAGCGGCAGGCCAGACAAGGCTGCGGGGGCGGGGGGACAGCATGGGAGGGGCCGGGAGCTAGCTTTCCCAGCCGGGAGCTCAGAGGCCGGGCAGGATGGTCCCGCGGGCCGTAGTTTGCCCACCTCTGGACTAGATGATCATACTGTTCCCTTCTGGCCTTAAACTCTATGGGTCTGTATGTTAGTCTCTATCCCTACTGACTGAAACATCTTTTTCATTATCTTGTAGCGGCAAGCAGGGCCAGCAGAAAAGCAGAAGCTCTATAAAACGTTACAGCAGCTTCCATGATTGTGCCATCACATTTTTTTGGCCACGGCTGCTTTTTTATGATGATGATCACTAAAGCTGGCAACAGAACTGCACAGGCACTTTTTAAAAGTCTCGCTGTGTTCCGTTGTTAACTGGCGGAACAGTTCAGAAGAGCTGCATCTTTCTGTTGAACTCTCACTTTGTTGACTCACTTGAGGATACCGGATACTTTTCCTTTTTACTCATCAAAATCAGTAGCACGTCTTCTAGACACCTTTTCAATACATAGCTGGAATATTACTGTTCTTTGCGTTTTATTACAGTAACTGTAAAAGAAATTTAACGTGCAGTTATGCCCAGCAAAACACTACTTTAAAATCTCATGTTCTTATTCAGCACAGCTACTCCTATCTTATCATCTTACTTTACATACATAACTACGTTTTTAGTATCTCATTTCTTTTTATTCTGTGTTGATTCATGTACCATTAGGAAAATTGGAAACGAAGATCTGATTGCAAAATCTGTATTACTAGTGAGAGTCAAGAAAAAAATACAGCTTGATTTTCAAATTCCAGATTGAATTTGCAGCATTTAAAGTCTGAAAAACCATCATTTTGATTTCAGCTAAGAAGATTTTATATGGAAATCACTGAGAAACAATAAACCTCATGATGGCATATTTAACCAGTCACTCCTTCAAATATCTCTGCATTTTAAGATTGCCAAAATACTGATTATATTTATAAGTTTACCCAAAATACTGTAACCACATGACTTTTATAGACTAGGGCACAGCTCTTTGCTATCTCCTGTATTGCCAGGTTACCAAATGCCTGTCCTGTTAGTGATTGTCTTAGAGTCTGGGTCAGCACAACAAAAGAGAGTTTACAAAAGGCTCTCATGTTTGAGCACAAATTACCCTCTCAGCAAAGAGCTTTATATCAGGCGTCCTGATTTAACCCAAATTGACACAAACATGGCAAAAGTATCTGGCAGCATCCCTTCCATATATCTTCATGAGCAGTAAACTCAAACAAACAAACAATACAAACCAAACTGAGCAGCTCCAATGTTACCCCAGCCACCTTGTTTAAAGTGTTCATCCTACATAATCCCATTTTACCTAATTAGCTTCCACATGGAGTACCTCCTTAAATTGACTCTGAAGCCTGGCTGGGAATTAACCCCCCTTCCACCTCCTCCCAGGGACACAGAAAAATCTGTTCACCCTGTTACAAAAATATAGTGACACATTAACCCTGGGATACCTTCAATTGTGCAGTTATCTTGTGCACACGGAGAATGTGCTAATAATCAGTTCAAGACACTTCACCTCTCTGCCTCTGTTTCCCCCTCTATCCTTGTCTGTCTGGTCTATTTAGGCCCCAATCCTGCAAACACTTAAGCACGTGCTTAACTTGACTCCCAGTAGTAAAGTTAATCATGTGTGTGTAATTGTTTGTAAGATTGGAGTCTATGTGTTTGTACAATCACTAGCACAATAGAGCCCCAGATAGCAGTTGGGACCTCTAAGCATTACTATCACACAAATATTTAAAATAACAACCACCTTTTTTGGTTACTTAGTAAGACTATTTTAGCTGCAGCATTTTGAACGGAATGGAAAGGTGAGAGCTAGAAAGCGGGGATATTGCAATAGTCAAGGTGAGAAATAACTCAGGCATGAAGGAACCAAGGAACCAATCATTTCCTTCATGGCCAGTTGTTTTCTGAAACTCTTCAAATGTTTATAGTTCACTTTTGTTTACTGTCAGTTTCTAGTAAATTTCACCATCTGGTTCTCAGGCAGTAGCACAATGCAGGGATGAGGAGGTTACAAATGCTGCAGGGGGGTGTTTACTAGTATAAAAATGGTTTATAATTGTAAATTAATGGAAACAATTCTATTGTTCCTAGGATTAGTAAAAAATTGTTTTCCCCAAACCTACCTTTGGGACCAGCTTTTACCTGACAGTGGCCAGAGCCAGATCACCCCACTGCATGGGGAAAATGCGAGGTTCCCAACCCATTAATCGAGTAGGTAGAAGTGGGGAGAGGACAGTGGAACAGGCATGGAGAGGTCACCTCCGTAACCCAGAGTATCCACTTTCTGAGCAATGTCCCCTTGTCTCTGGGCCAGCTCTGGGGCTACCCTGCTCCCACTTCCACTATATGCACAATGCTACTCCAATGAAGCTATGCTGCTAGAGACAACCCTGGCTCCACCTCCTTCTGCCCCTGGAATCCCAATATCCTTCTAATTGGTGGGGGAGGGTAAAGTGAACCCAGAGATTTGGGATTTCTGAGCAGAGTTCTCTTTCCCTCTTTTAACACTACTGAATAAACCAAAAGAAACAAAATCCTGCCGAGAAGCATTTTAAGGGCGGTAAATCCATTCTCCATTGAACTTGGTTTACTAAACACACTTTTATTCATTATTGCCCATTCACTCTTTGAAATTTTAGTGAAAATGTATCCGAGTCAGAAGCTCCTGTGACCCCACTATAACTTTCAACAAGTTTTAAGACACCACAACAAGCAATTAGTGTTGAATGATAATCTTTTGATATTATTTAGTTTCTTCTTGCCTAAAAATAGAACATTAAATCAGAGTGATGTGTGTAATACTAGTATAGTACAACTGCAGTACTTCAGCAGCATATAAGAAAATAAGTTATTTTTAGACTAATGTATATTATCTGAGAGGTCTAGCTTTCTATATAAACCTGGAATTTTATTTAGGTAGATGTTGCAAGGAGGCTGATGCTCTATATCGGGAAGCTGGGTCCACTACAGAGAAGAATGGGAGAAGGAAACTAATGGGGAAAGCTATGAGTAGAGTTCAGTATAGTTTTATATAAATACCACACACACACACACACACACACACACACTGTTCAGAATCATTCTGGTGCATGGAAATTAAAGTTCCATAAAAATCTATTTTAGTACTTGAGCTCTCAACATAGGAACCAATAATTTGCAAACTAACTGCACCTTGGGACACTATAAACCAGCTATTTTTCTTTTGTAAACAGGTTTTATGACAGTAGATGAAAGAAAAAACTTTGATCATCTTAAGTCTCCCCATCTTAAATACTGGATTCCATTTGTCTGGTTTGGAAATCTAGCATCTAAGGCACGAAAAGACGGTAGAATTAGAGATAGTGTAGACCTTCAGACACTGATGAATGTAAGTAGGAAAAATAAATCTACAGAAACAGATACTGAAATCACTATGCATTGTCTGTTCACCTATATAACTTTATCTATTACATACAACTTTCCAATCTTTTCCTCCCCACCTCAGTGGACTTACTCTAGATTTATACCAAGTGTGTTTGTCTACGCATGTACTATGCACAAAACCAACTCCACCACCAAGTGCTTAATGTGACAATATTTATATAAATGAGACATAATTGACTGAAATACCAAATCAGTGAGCAAAATTCTGCTCTCACTTTTACTGCTATAAACCAAGAGTAACTCCACTGTAGTTAAAAAAAAAACGCAAAAGATGGAGAAGTTGTTTATCTTTAGGGGGCTTATTATTTTAATTTAATATTTTTTTTTTTAACAAAAACAGTGCCCAAATGTATCATGAAACAATCAATAACCCTTTTTTGTAATGTAAAACATATCCTCCTGCCAATATCTCTGGACAGCATACAAATTTGAAATAATGGAACAAGAGATAATTTGTTAAGAAGCTAAGCATTCCACCAAGCTTCTTAAGTCCATTGTACAACTGAATTTTATAATGTGTTGATGATCTACAGAATATTATTTATCATATCCATTTCTAATTCATCAAATTTGGTGCAGACAGAGTATACTGTTTTACAGCCTTTCATTTATGTGAAATGAATTGTGACAAACCCATTATTATTTTTGAGCGAATGTCACACATTTTGTTTTGTTTCCTATTTAGGAAATGAATAAGTACCGGTCTTGGTGTAGTCTTCTATTTGGTTATGACTGGGTTGGAATTCCACTGGTCTACACACAGGTACTGAGATATTACCATTCCCAAAATTTGGATCAAGATTTTCAAAAAGAAGGGCTTAACGTTAGATTCCTAAGTCCATATTTAGGCACCCACATAAGTGACCTGATTCTCAGAGATGCTGAGCACTCTGCAGCTGCCATCTTGGACATGGTCTCTAGGATGATTGGCCAGATATTTTAAGTTATGTTTGATGTGAAGGTGCTGGGTGGTTTGGGAGGCTGGGAAGATACTGGGAGGTTTAATAAGTTGAGGGTGGGTGGGTTATGAATTGTTGTTTTGTGTTTCTGCTATATGCATTCCCTGGCTACCAATAGATCATGTTGCCATTTTATTTGTAATGTTTATCTATAATATTTAAAATACTATTGTGTGAGGCACCCAGCAGCTTTTGGGAATGTGGTGCCTTATACATAAAGAATGATTATTATATTATTTTAATGTAGCTTTTATTTGTTGCAGGTTGTCACTCTTGCGGTCTATACCTTCTTCTTTGCATGTCTGATAGGACGTCAGTTTTTGGATCCTGAGCAAGGATATGTAGGACATGACTTGGATCTTTACATTCCAGTCTTCACACTGTTACAATTCTTCTTCTACGCAGGATGGCTCAAGGTAAGCTATATTTGTCAACTACAACAACAAATAATTGATTTGGCTACATCTTTGGGGAAAGGTAGTAGGCGAAATCCCCCAAGTCAGCTCAAGTCAAGGGGCCAGATTCAAATTTGTTGTAAATTCATTGAAGCTGAATTGTGTTACACCAAAGGATAAATTTAGCACAAGGTGTCCAGTGGCTGATCTTCAGGAAGAGCTTAGAAAATCATCCATTACATTTTCAATCCACCCAAGGCGGGTCTTACAATAAGTGTGGTTGCAAGAAAGGGTCAGGATCCTGAAAGTACCTTCTGCGAGGAGGTGAGCACTGAAAACTCCCAATGAAGTACGGCCTGGATCCACAAAGAGACGGAGGTATTGTAATGCTCAATTTTAGGCACATAGAAAATCACAGGCACAACAGTGTGATCCACAAAATCTGAGTGAGGTGCCTCGGCTCCCTATACAATGAATGGGAAGAGATAGGCACCTAAGAATACTATCCACAAAACCATCATGTTAGGTGAATCCCTACTAAGCTAGCCAATGGGAGATGCTGACAAGAGGGGTGTGTCCGTCATTTCTTGTGGGAATACATTAGGCACCTGCCTCACTCCAATAAAACAGCCTGAGGAGGAGGTGGTGCTGATGCTGACATTATACGTTTTAGCCCAGTGGTTAGAGTACTCACCTGGGATGTCAGCCTGAGGGGGAGAAAGGATTTATGGAGGGGTCAAAAGAGTGCTTTAGCCACTGAGCTATTCTGATGTGGGGTTCTCTCAATCTCACCCGTCAAAGCTGCTCCACTGTGGCTAAATAATGACAGAGTAATTGGGGCCGGGGGACTGGCCACCGAGTCTCCCACCTCCCAGGTTTGTGCCCTATCCACTGGACTGCAGTCATTCTCTCGTTCTCTGTCTCTTTCTGACCCAATGACTATTTAACTATGAATCCAAATTAGAACAACTTCAACAGGACAGACTGAGGGAGCCCCAGATCAGAATATTCCATAGCTCAGTGGTTAATGCACACTCCTGAAAGGTAGGAGATCCCAGTTCACTTTCTTCCACTCTGCCTGAGGGGGGAATTGAATCTGGGTCTCCCACACCACAGGTGAGTGCACTAACCGCTAGGCTAACAGTTATAAGGGTGGTGGTAGGAACAGCAGAAGATTTTGAAAGGGCCATGATCCGGTAGATGGCCTCTGAGTAGGGTGACCAGATAGCAACTGTGAAAAAAACGGGACAGGGGTGGGGGGTAATAGGTGCCTATAAAAGAAAAACACCCAAAAAATGGCACTATCCCTTTAAAAACAGGACATCTGGTCACCCTACCTCTGAGCACCATTACAGGGTCAGGCCCCATGGGCAAGATAGGTGAGGAATACCTAGCTGCTCTCAGTTCATGGGTCTCTCTGGTGTTTAGGTGGGAGATGGGTGTCCAAATACCTAGAAGGAGGCATCAGTGCACGTGTCCAGAGGCAGAAACTTCAGCATCAAGGGAAATTTTACACACAAAAATTAGGCATTGAGTGAATTTAGGTGCTTTCAGAGTTCAGCAGCAGCCAAGCCGGGTTTTTCTGGATAACAGTGGTGCCTAAAACTAGGACTTAGGGCCCAGATCCACAGAACTATTTAGGGTCCTAGGTGCCACTGAAATCAATGAGAATTAGGTGTCTAAATACCTCTGAGGATCTGGGCTATGTGCCTAAATCTGGGGATTAGGTTCCTACGTACCTTTGTGGATATGGGCCTATTATCCTTGCAGAATCCAGACCTGGGAGTTGGACAATAAGATGGCCAAAGAAGGGTGAAAATTTAGGCCATGAATTTCCTCCCTCTCCAATTTTGTGTCCAGTTGGGGAGATGGTGTTGCAGAGGTGGAATGGGGCGCAGGGCTCTAAACCACTTGTTTTGCTTATGGTCAAAGTCAGCCTGCCTTGTAGAAGCCAAATGGAGTTACCCACTTTCGGGTGGCAATGAAATAGTGACAGCTAATATTGACTACACTACTAGCACCACATGAAGCAGTTCATTAAAGAGCGGAGTTGCAAAAGAAGTTGGATTTTTTTATGGCCATTGTTTTGTTTTGTAACAGATCAGTTAACATCTCCTCATCAGGTGTGTAATTAAACAATTAAGCAATATTCTCCCTATTGATTCTTGCCCCTGCAATTAATAACAAACTAGATTAATTCAAAGGGAAAAAACTGAAATGAAAACTCAACCAGGCAGTATTAAGCAAATTCATATATTAAGCCCAACAGTCATGTAAATCTCACTCTTGCTTCGTTAAATCATTACTGTAAGCTTTGAAAAGCTAGTTGGCATTAGCACAATGATAAAAATTGTGCAAAACCAGCCAGTTTTAGGGCCTAATATGGGAAGCCCTCTGGGGGAGTTCTGTAAATGGAGAGAATGCAGGGTCAGTCCCTTTGTCTGGAAGCATTTTCTTTGATTTTGATTCATGCAGGTAGGCCCATGCCTATGTATCAGGTTCAGAAGGACCCTGAAACACAGAGTCAAAATCAGTCAGAATTGTCACATTGTACCTGGTTTCATGTTGAAACCATGTGAGACTGAATCTTTCCATAAATCATCCCAGGTTCACTCCAAAGGTTCACAAACCGTTTGTAACCAAACCACGCCAAGTATTTACAGTTTCACTGTCTGTCATGCACGTTTTGTGCAATTCTGTGCTAACACATATACCGAGCTGCAATGTAATAATAAATACCAAAAAACCCCAACACCTTATGACACAACTCAGCAAAACTTTGAAAATTCAGAATTAAGTCTTACATTCATTCTTAGAAGAAATAGCCAAACAGTGAGTGTTGGGGGGGTTATTATTGGTTTATGCCATGAGCTTAATGCTACTTTAAATTTAATGACTGGGATGGCATTTATGTTCCTTATTTCCTTAAAAATATATTTAAAAAAAAAAAGAATAAAATCGTTCATTGTATGTTATCAAAAGCATGGACTTCGTTCTCTTACCTTGGGAAAAATCCATGGCAGTTAGTCTGATCCTGCAGTGGGAGAATCAGGTACCTTTTGTTTTCAAAGGTATAAATAGTTGTGTATGTATGTTATAATACACACTTAGGAGTAGAAACACAGGCGTTTTTTGAAGGTGCAGAAACTCACCCTGTTAAATGCATTTATGGGACTTATTCTCTACTGGGTGTTCTTCAAGATTTTATTGATAGTATACCAAGGTTAGTTAGTATATTGTTAGTATATAAGGTTTCGTAGTATGTTGTATACTACTGTTACTATACAAAGGTTTTATTGTTAGTATACAAAGCTAGACTGGGCCAGTCTTCCTGAGTCTGCTGCACTGCTTCTAATTGTGACTTATGAACAGTGGAGTTGGACCTCTAGATTGTCCATCCAACAATGTAATCATAGAAGATGAGAGATGGGACCTTCAGTTTTGGAATGCTCTTTCCCTTAATCTATACCAAAGTCCATCTATAGCACCTTTTCTAGTTGGGCTCAAGACCTCTACCAGCTTGGCCCTGGCAACTTCAGATATAATTTTCATAATAAAAATCACTTTATATCAAAACCCAAAAATGCAGTGACAGTCTGCATAAACTTAATTTAATAACAGAATAAACAAAAAGAGGAGCCATTGGACCGCTTTTACAATTTAAACAAAGCTGCCACTGAATTTCCAGTCTGCTGCTCCAAAAGTGCCATAGAATTCAGGAGTTTGGCCAAAAATCCTGTTTGCGACAAAGTCCACAAGGCCTTCAACAGGATTGCAGATAGAGTCTCGAACCACTATTTTGCAGTTCAATAACATAAACATGGCTAAACTGGTCTCCATTCTTAGGCTGTGCATCTGATTTGTTACACATACCGTACATGGGACAAGATTTCCCATCACATGAGATGCTTGTCTCAGACTAATTTATAAGCCATTCAGCTGTGATAGCCAGCAATCCAAAAATAGATCTTCGCTGTACTGCACTGCATTCATTTTCAGAGGATGATCTCATGGGCTACATGCTGGTGGCAGGTCAGCCAGTCAAAAGGCCACAGCTGAGGTTTTCCCGGCCACTACGCCTGAGTGTGCCTATCAGCTTCTGTTAGGTGCCGTGCGTGCTGTGGGGTCGCTGACTTAGAGCTAGCGGAGGAAGTGGCTCCACTTAGAAGCCACGAGACAGCTTGTTCTCTGGTTTATTTCTATCCAAACAGCAACATAGTTATTCTTGCAATGTTAATGCCACGTACCAAAGGCACCTGTCCCCTCCTCCCTATCTGAGTCTGGGCTTTTAATTCTCATCTTCTCCTAGCTAGTGAATGAGACCCAGCTACAGTTTTCCTGTGAATACTGAATGGCATGATGTAGAAAAATCTTTAATATATCGCAAATACTGTACACAGGAAGTGATTCTTATTACTACTGTTAGTTATTTGTATTATGGGAGCACCTACTGATTAGAGCCCCACTGAATGGGGGCTGTACAAACACTTAGGAAGAGACCCTTTCCCCCAAAGAGCTTCCAATCTAAGCCCTAACTCTTGCAATTTACTATGTGCAGTTTGAGTACTGCACCCACACAGAAACCCATTGATTTCTAAGGGGCTCTGGGTGGGCCCAGCAATTCACCCCCAAGCTGTAAATTGCAGGATTGAGATCTAATTAGACATGACAGACAAATAGTGGGAGAAAATAAGTATTTGTCTCTCCATTTTACAGATGGGGAATTGAGGCCCAGAAAATTAAGTGACTTGCCCAAAGTCAAATGAAATCTGTGGCCGATTTGGGAATTGACTCCCAATCTCCTGGGTTGAGGGCAGGGCCTTAACCACAAGACCCCAATACACTGTTATAGCGCAGAATCAGTGGAGAGGTTGAAAGGGGGAAGAGCCTTCTCCACACAGCCCAAGCAAGCAAGATTTGGGAGAGTGACGAAGACCATTGGAGATCCTCCTGGTTCATTTATGACACCAAGACCCCTAAGACTCTCAGTCACTAACACATCCAGTGCTCCCCCACAGAGAACAGCTGAAACACCACAGTGCCCCTATGATAAACATAGATTATAGATAAACATACCTGTTCTGTTCGTTCCCTCTGAAGCACCTGGCATTGTCCACGATCGGAAGACAGGATACTGGGCTAGATGGACCATTGGTCTGACCCAATATGGCTGTTTTAATGTATACAGCCCTTCTTTGTAAGTGGAGCATTCCAAAGAAAACAAAGGCCACACTGTGGAATTCTTTCCAACGTTAATACAAAACCTGGCCCTGCCCGGGGCTTTCTGGGATTGGTACGACTTCCCCCAGGGATTGTTCACAAAGGCTTTGCCAAATTAAAGCCAGATGTTTGACAAGAAAGAGCAAACATAAGGGGGAAATGATGTGTCATTTGCCCCTTTCTCTAGGAGAAACCTCTCTGGTTCTCTCCTTGCTCTGAGGGAAGGAAGCATTATATGTGCCCAGTCGTCTTCCCAGCAAAGCTGTCCATAGCCCTGTACTGCAATCCTGACTTTCCCGTGGGCTACGGGCTGTTGAAGGAGAGGCTGGCAGGAAACACCCCCAGCTTTAGGGCAAGTTCCAGCCCATCCTATTCTTAAAACTTCAGTCTCAGGCCCTAAACCCAGTCTGAGTTTCCCACAAATTTCAAACCGTCTCCAGAGATCTCTTCCTCTCCCTGTGACCATGTCCCCCATCCTACAGATAAATCTTTTTTCAGAAAAAATTGGAGAAAGCTATTGCCAGCTCAGGCGGGTTCCTTTACCAGCCAATTGCAAAGACCTTGTCCCAGCCCCCAGCCTCACACTGCCCAGTTACCATCACTACAGAATGGGATCCCCTGCTTCCCTGAAGGCCAAGCCTCCTTCTCAACTTAAATGATTTCAAAATAAAATTTAAAATAATTCGGTCTGAATATAAACAAAATGTAGAGTCTGTTTTCTGTTTGCAATAAGCAAGGTACGAGGACACCCTGGCTTTCATTGCATTTCATTTTTAAGGCGGCGTGCTTTTCTCAACTAACACCAGGCTAGAGAGAAACACTCAGTATGACTCGGGTGTGGCTGTGAGCTCAACAATAGAATCATAAAATATCAGGCTTGGAAGGGACCTCAGGAGGTCATCTAGTCCAACCCCCTGCTCAAAGCAGGACCAATCCCCAGACAGATTTTTACCCCAGTTCCCTAAGTGGCCCCCTCAAGGATTGAACTCATAACCCTGGGCTTAGCAGACCAATGCTCAAACCACTGAGCTATCCCTCCCCCAAAGCTAGCTCATCAGGGGGCCATGCTAACCAGATTTAAGAATGGAAAGGTGATGTGGCTGATTTCCAAGAGATTCCAGCTGGGTCGTTTTGAGCAGGGTAAAAGACTATCATAGACAGTTGAGAGGGCTGGTCCTCTGAGCTGCTTTTTAGACAGTGAGGCCATCAATCGGCATTCAGTCACCACGTTGATAGCATTGATTGTTCAGGGAGGATTGCATGAAGGTTGCCATCCTCCTCCCCTTGAGCAGGCTAGTAATGGGATGCAAAGCCTTTAGCTGCAAAATCCCCAGTTCAAATCCAGTCCAGGTCACCACTAATCAAATGTTATTGCAATCATGTAGGTGTCGGGTGACTGTGTTGGGGCACTCCCCCACCCCAATCTGGAGAAAGCTAACAAGCCCCTCTGGGCTCACCTGCTATCAGACAGGCACACCTGCAGGGTCTGCACCAGCTGGAGGAAGCAAGTTTAAAAGGAGCGCTTGTCACAGGAAGAAGTGCAACCAGGGGGAAAGCTTCTGTGCCCCAGCAAGCTGATGCTTGTTCCAGAGTCACTGAGAGGGGAAACAGCTAGCAAGCCTCTGCTGCCCACAAGGACAAAGCAGACCTTTATAAGGAAACCAAGAGACTGAACGGCCCCTTAAATGGGACCCAGAAGGGCTAGACTAAAGCTCCCAAGTGGGGAAAGGACTTTTAAAGGGAAAGAGACTCTAATAGCCTGACTGTGACCCTAGAGAGAGGCCCAGTTTATCACAGAAACCTTCATGGAATGAACAGGGGGTCTCCATATAGTTCCTAGGGCATTGGTGTCCGCTTTAGAACCACCACAGTTGTGAGTGACAGTATCGCAAGGAGAGAATAGCTCAATCTCATCTCTAAACGTGGTCCCCCCAGATCAATTTGAGATGCATTTGTTGGGCAGTGTGGGAAAAGCGTCCACTAGCATTGCCTAGGTACTGTATATTTATTCTACAGATCTACAGATGACTTCATTATCCAGCAAGACAAGGTGGGTGAGGTAATATCTTTTATTGGACCAACTTCTGTTGGTGAGAGAGACAAGCTTTTGAGCTTACACAGAGCTCTTCTTCAGGTCCTGAAGTAAGTAAGCTCAAAAGCTTGTCTTTCTCACCAACAAAAGTCGGTCCAATAAAATATTACCTCACCCACCTTGTCTCGCTAATATCCCGGGACTGACACAGCTACACTTCATGATCCAGGACAGTCAATCAAACAGCTTTCATGACAGCTAAATTCAAAGCTGGGACCCAAAGGTGAACGTTCCCTGTGTTCAGAGGAGTACAGATCTGTTTTGGTTCAGGCCTACCTTTATGAAATATAGACACTGATTTTCTTAAAGGTACCTCCTGAAGGTGTAGTGACTTAAGGCCGACTCTGCTGCCCGATAGGAATAACTTTGTTAGTTATTTGGTGCAGAAGCCTGAGATATGTTAATTCTATCAGTGCAGCTAGACTGGCAAAACATCACAATGGAATTCATGTTGGGGGAAACAAGGGGCATGGGAGAAAGAGAACATGAAATCTTAACAGTCAGCCTCTTCTAAGCCCTTTTAAGGCAACAGCATTAAGCGTTGCATATTAGCATTTGTTCAGCCTATGATTTTAATTGTAGGTTGCTGAGCAGCTTATTAATCCATTTGGGGAAGATGATGATGATTTTGAAATAAATTGGTGCATTGATAGAAATTTGCAGGTCAGTATTTTTTGTCTCTACTTTCCTCTCTTCTGTTTTACTGCAATATATTATAAATGTATTCCTTATAGATCTGAGACACTAGCTAATGGGATGGACTGAGAGTTATACAAAATGATTCTTTACCCAAAGGGGATCGTATCTCCAGAATCCTCCATGTTTTGTTTTTAGAGACGGTATATTATTAATTCACCATTTCATATGCCTTGTCTGCTGGGGAAAGGATGCAAAGTGAAGACATCTGAGCTGCCCTCTAACCACAAGTTCATTTCATGTAACCCTGCCTGTACTCACCAATTCAGCCACATAGGATATCCTGGAAAGACTACTCTGAACCAAATTCTGTTCTCATTGACACCTTTGCAAACTCACTGAAGTCAATGAGGTTGTGCCAGTGTAATGGGTAGCAGATTTTGGTCCTATATTTGTACAGAGCAGGTAAATAATTTACAGGAGAAGTCAGCACTGCCAAATCTGCAGTTGAAATTATTCCTACATTTCTTATGGCACAAGTGTGACCCTACACCCAGGAGAGTAAGGGCACATGAAGAGTTCCATTACTTCCCTGCATGGGCAACTCACGTTGCAGGTAGCAGAACAGGAAGATGACCAGTCTCCATGGGGTCACCACTCCAGAGCAGGTGTGTAGCGAGTGGGGGTGGAGGAAGGAGGCACAAGGAGTAAGGGCAACTGTGGCTCCACCCCTTGCAGTGTGCTGGCCAGCTCAGCTGAGCCAGCATCATCAGAGAAGTATCTGCACCTGATACAGGGCTCTGAGTCACAGTCTTGGCCATTCCTGGGGGAATGCAGCTAAATACAACTTGTTACAAAGTCACAGCTGAGCCCTTTATTTTTACATATGTAAGTCAATGGTACAAGGCTGTTCACGTGCTCTGTTGGGAATATTTTTAAAAATATGGACAATGTTTGCTTAAAGGTTCCTCTATGTGAACTTCTGCATAAGAAACATCTCTACAAATAGCACAATAATAGTCCTCATACATTTCCTGAAAACATGGCACATCAGAGAATCACGTGACCATTTAGCTAAATAATCCAGTTAATAAGAATGCTTGCTGGAAAAGTTAATTCTTTATCATTTGTGATTAAATGTGATGTAATATGAAGGGAATTGTTTAGCAAACATATGGGGCTCTATCCCATTCTAATTAAAGTCAATTACATTTGTTGCCGTTGTGGGAGCAGAAATAATCTATTTTAGCTTTTTATATAGTGCCTATTAACATGGAGCAGGCCTGTAGCCACTATGTACATTTTACATAATTTCATAAAACATATTTCCTAAAGAATATTTCCCATATAGCAGGAAATAGTATATTATACACAAAACCATATTTAAAGTAGTGTAATTACAACTATGATCCCAGGTCTCACTTCTGGCTGTGGATGAAATGCACATGAACTTACCAAAGATGGACAAAGATATTTACTGGGATGATTCAGCTGCTCAGCCACCATACACACTGGCAGCTGCCGATTACTGTATTCCATCTTTCCTTGGATCAACTATTGAAATGGGGTAAGTAAAGCTGCCATCTTTTCATGATGTCATTAAGGCTACAAAAATGTGTATCCAATCATCTTAAAGGCCTATGGATCTTTAAATGTATATCATGCATAAATGTGACTTCAAAGTTGAAGTTCAACATTTAAAAATATGTGATGGTTTCTTGTCATGTGCACAGAAGTGTACAAATTCAACACCTGGGAAAGCTCAGTGGCCATTAGAAAACTAGTGATTTAAATGATCCTTTTAGGAGAGCGACACGAACTTAGCCCTTTGTTTTTTTTGTGGTATTGTAGCAGTATAAAACAGCATAAACCAAAGAAGCAGCAAGGTTTTTCATAGAAATTTTCAAGGTACTAAATCCTCTGTGTACATGATACAACAATTAACACAATACCCATTTATTTGCTTGTTTCTTGTGCAGACACTCCCTTTCTTCTTGCTGGGTAAGATCATTTCAGACCTTTGGGAGATAAACTATAGAAATGGTTTTCTGACTTTTCAATTAATAATAATCCAGAATTGTTTTCTTTCATGTATACCAACCCTATTGCAAAGAACCAGCCAGAGTATGTGACATTGCTCGTTGTTCTGGCACTCTGCGTCTACACCGCTGGCAGAGGCGTGTAGTGTACGGGCAGCTACCCGCCACAGTGAAAAGCAGGCTGTGTCCACACTGCGGTCTGTAGCTACATGTGTCAGCGAGGCTCTGGCAGAGGGGAGGCAGCGGAGAAAGGCTGTTTTCCCTCCTGCCAGACCTTTTCCGCACTGGCGGTGTCTTTTCTTGAAATGGAGAAAGGCTCTGGCAGTGGGACACTACACTGGTATTTTTAGCAGTGTAGATGGAAAGGCATGACTTGGGTGAGTAGAAAGCTGTGTAGGGTGTGTATTCACATACACGCCCTTCAGGAGTGTTTATACTTTACTCACCTAAGCCACGTCCCTCCATCACCGCTATTTATACCTGTGCTGGGCAGTATGTACACTACACACTGCCAAAAGAAACATGCAATATAGATGTACCCTCATAAAATACGGTGACAGGCCAGACAGAGCATGAAAAGCTGAGTTAAAACGCATATGATGTGCTCTAGTGTAAAACAGATCGGTGAACATGAAGAATATCCTGTCCCTTTAAGAAGCAAACAAATACTAGAGCTGGTAGAAATTTTTCATTTGAAACTTTTTTTAAAAGCAAAAGTGGCTTTTTCAAAACCTAAAACTTTCATTTTTTTTTCAAAAGTTTTTCACTGAACCCAGAAAGGTTGACATTTTTGGAGGGGTTAGTTTTTTCTCCTTAATCCTCTTTCTCTCTTCATCTACTTTTTTGCCACAAAATACAACAGAATGATGTTCAGGATGTTTTTTCCTACTTTTCCTTCTTCAACTTTGGAAAAGTTACAGAGTAGCAAAAGGAAAAACGAAGGGAAAAAACACACGTTGGCCATCATTTGATGTATTGCATTCCGTGAAGAGAAAGGGGGAGGAGAAAAAAGAGGAAAGGAGGGGACCCACAATTCAAACTTCCGACATTTTTATAAAAAATATTTCATGAAAAATATAAAAAACATATAAATTGTTCCATTTTAAATCCTTTGAAATCATAACAACTTTGAAATTCTATATTTTTCCCCAAACCATTTCTCCATTTTTTTCCAACCAGCTGTAACAAATATAACAAGGTGTCCTTCAGCCAGAGTTCAAAACCAAGGTCTAAAGGTATAGCTTGTTTCAGCCAAGTCCAAAACAAATATCTCAAGCATGGCTCACGTCAGCCAAATTCCAGAGAGGAAGAAGATTCACCACTCTCGGACTTCATTCTAGCTCTCCTCCTAGGGACAAGTCTATCCTCCCTGGTGCTCTCTGCCAAACTAAATCCTCTGCTGTCACAGAGCATCGCATTTATAAGTAGTGGAAGGAATTAATCAATCCCATCAAAGTTGCCATGGCCATACCTGAAATCCCTGCTCTCAGGACAGTCAACTGTGACTCTTCTTGTAGTGTTCCCTCCCATTGTCTTTACACCCCATGGCAAGGACTAAATGTGCTCCACTCCCGAAATGGTGTGGCTGCATTAACTCATCATTAACCTCAGAAGCCAGTCAGAAAAGCAGAAGCTAATGGGTGGGATTTTCAAAAGGACCTAAGAGACTTGGAGCACAGGGCCCATTGACTTTCAATGGTACTTCTGCTCCTAAATCACTTAGGCACTGTTGAAAATCCTACCCCATGCTCAGTGCTTAATTTGTAATGCGAGAGGTGTCGGGGCTCAAGCAATTAAGTGCTGGGGCTCAAGCAGTATTTTTACTTTCATAACTGAAGCAGCAAGCCCAGCGGTGCCAGAGCTATGAACTACCAAGCCTAGAGGTGCTGGGGTTATGAATTGCCAAGCGTAGAAGTGCTAGGGCTCCTGGCACAAATTAAACACTGTCCACACTTCCAGGAGCACCATTAACTTTTGCCTGAGACTCTTCCTGATAGAATGAGGAATATACTGCACAGAGCAACTGTTCTTCTCCTGCCCCCGCAAAGCTCTGATCATGTGGAGCTGCCATCAAGGAGCGCTCCACTGTTCTGAGACAGGAGGGAGAACCAATCAGCATTGACTGTGCTCCTCACCCCTTTCAGTGTATCTGAAGATTTTCAGACACACTTCGCTCTTATTTGCTCCTCCTATACCTCGTGGAGGCCCTTTATTAGGAACACATTTGTTCCTTAAGTTCTCTGACTCTCATCACTCACTGTTAACGTAGCTCTGTTCCGCTAATGACAGGCAGACAGAAAATGGATCATTATATAAACCATATTTTCCATTTAACATGAAACCTTACTGCAAACACTACACCTCTTGTGACTCTAGAATAAAAGAAATACAGAGTGACACACCCTGCATCGCTTTATCTTACAGGCTGTCTGATACAGAGTTCCTCCGTGGGGAAAACCAGCCCTGGGATGATGAGAAATACAGGCGACAGCCCTCAGTGCTGAGAAGAGTTAAGCGATTTCTGAGTGTCCATGAAAACTCTCCTTCCCCAACCAGGAGGCGCTACAGCAGACAAACAAGTGAGAACTCGGTGTTTTTCCCTGCTCATGAAAAGGGTCACATCAGCAGTTTGCAAGAAATGCATTCTAGAGGGAGACATTTTTCCTCAAAGGTCAAGAAGAAATATGAGCTGGCTGACAGGAATCCCCGACTGCATGCTAGCATAGATCTAGCAACTATTAGTGAAACTAGCAGAACCAACATTTTAGAGAGCTACCAATCTAGTGAGAATGACACAACAACAAAGATATCTTTGCCAGTCCCTGAAGCAGTTGTTGCTACTACTGAGGACAGAACACTCAACGCGTCAGACAGCCAGACTTTACAGACAGACACCTCCACAAACATGTCGACAGAACAGGCTCCACCAGGCAGTCCAACTGAGCCACATTCTGATCCTGTGGATGCACCACGACCTCATTCAGAAATGGCTATGTCTTTTACAGATTCTGGGCAGCATAAATCATCCACTGTTGTAACAGAGGAACCAAAACCTGATTTACACAAAAGTATGACAGCAGATGATAGCAAAGATCAACACAGGAGCTCTGAAAGATGTTCCCCAGACTTCCATATGCTCAGTATTACATTGCATACAGATGCTGCACCTCTTTTATTGGATTTTGGAACACCCTCTGGACAAAGCACCTTAAGTGGTGAAAGTAACATTGCTGCTACGTCTGCTGCTAGAGATACCGTTGATATGCATCACTTATTGGAACATCTGGATGCTAAAGAAACAGCTATACTAGAATTCATTAATGAGAAGAATGAAGGAAATCTCTGACAAGGTTGTCAGAATCTTCTAGATTCCAATTCTATTCTATTATTTACAGTGGGGGGAAATGTTTAAGAGCCCCTGCAGCCATTTGGGGGTTCCCCAAACACAGAAAACTTTCATTTTGCAAAACAATTGGAACTTTGTCTCTTTTGAAACCTGTTCTTATTCAGATTTTCTGAAAATACAGAAATACAAACACACTGCTCAGACCACACATACAGTACGTCGTACGGCTGATCTTATTTCCAAGGAAAATTACTCAGATTGCTATGTTAAAGCTTTCCTCTCTCAATGAGGATTCTGGCAGGGCAATATTAAATTTAAATTAAAACAAAAATCTCAGCCAGCCGGGAGCCTCATTCCCTGGATAGATCTCACCAGCTGGTACCCAGCTTTGGCAGTGTTCTTCGGCCTTTCTCTCAGCACGGACTCCACCTTTGAACATGGCTCGGGAAAGGGAGCTCATGCTGTCCATGGCCATGATGGAAAGGGGTGTTTTCCCTCTCTTTCAGCAGTGGGAAAGGAGATTTCTCTCCAGCACATACACGCCCAGCCCTTCTCTCTTGGAATCCATCCTTTTGCAAATCAAATTGCTTTTATAACACAGCCAAGTAATTATTTCCTCATCAAGTCTTATTGAACTGTCACGAAATAGTAAGGATAAGTGTTAAGGAATCATACTGATGTCCTGCCAGTACAATTCATTAACAACACATCCCTCCTCCACCATCCGGCAGTGTGGATGGCTCCAAAGGCAATGGAACTAATGCAGTTACTCTACTCATGGCAGGAGGTGGAGCACCCTCCCTGGGAGTGCACAGCTCCCATGTGCCTGAAGCACTGCTCTGTGGCTTTCTCTATGGTAGCATAGGAAGGCCTGAGAAGTGTGGGGTGTGACCAGTGGATCCACAGCTCTGTAGGTTCACTGGCCAAACTCCCCTCTGTCCTGCATGAGGAGAAGGATGGATGTAGCTGCAGGAGGGAGTGTATCAGCAGCCACAAAGCAGTTCCACCATTTGGGTAAGAGGATTCCATAGCCAGCCCCCAACAGAACACAAGCCTGAGGAAATGGGAGTCTCTCAGGGGAGAGGATTTGAGCCAGGGATTCCAGGCCATTGTTTCTTTTGTCTCTTTTCTCTCTGTCTTTTCTGATCGCAGAAATCTCGCCTAATCTCCAGGGTCCAATCACCATCTTGCCACCATCCTCATCCTCAGAGAAGAATGAGGGGGGATTTGATAGCTGCTTTCAACTACCTGAAAGGGGTTGCAAAGAGGATGGATCTAGACTGTTCTCAGTGGTACTAGATGACAGAACAAAGAGTAATGGTCTCCAGTTGCAGTGGGGGGAGATTTAGGTTGAATATGAGGAAAAAAAATTTCACTAGGAGGGTGGTGAAGCACTGGAATGGGTTACCTAGGGAGGTGGTGGAATCTCCTTCCTTAGAGGTTTTTAAGGTCAGGCTTGGCAAGGCCCTGGCTGGGATGATTTAGTTGGGGATTGGTCCTGCTTTGAGCAGGGGGTTGGACTAGATGACCTCCTGAGGTCCCTTCCAACCCTGATATTCTATTATTCAACCTCCTTTCTCTCTGCTTCCAACAGGCTCGTAGTTGTACTGGAACAGAATAATCATCTGCTCCATCCCAGACTTCAGTTGGCCCTCCCTCCCCCACAGTACTCAATTGAAACAAAACTGAGCATATTTTCCCCACTCTTTAATTGTGTTTATCTTTCATTGCCTGCCTCTCTAGTAGGCTCCACACCACATCTTTTACATCAGTGCTTGATCACACAACTTCTGATCAATGATTTAGATGCTTGGCCTCCTCTTTCTTTCTTTCACACCTGTTCCGCTAACCTCAAGACCAGCTACTGCATCCAGCTGGTTGGCTGGACAGAGTTGTCATTCAAATTCTCTCCCCTCTCATTCGTAGCTGAGTAGAAGGCTTGCTTTATAGCCATGTAGTAGGCCTGCTTTATAGCCACATAGTAGGCTATAGCCGTGTAGTAGGCCTGCTTCCGTTAATGTTTCATTCATGCTTCCATTACATGTAGCCACGCACCAAACCTGGACCAGCAGTGTAAAAGCTTAGCGTCCTCTCACAGGGCCTCATAACACTAGAAAAGGATACAGTCCAGTGGGAAAATGCTTACAGGTGTTTCACAAATAGCAACTAATTACAGGAATAAATATAAATATTCTGTCCATTACTTGTACAGAATGGGACTTAGTTATGGCCATTTTCAAAATTTCCTCTTATTAGTTAGTTTGTGAGCCCACTATTGCATTCATCTGGGTGCTGAATTATCTTTTGAACCAAGTTGGTCACCTAAGCACCTCTTGCTACAATTTTTTTAACATTAGTTTAGTCAATTGACTAATTATAACACTAGCAGCCCCAACAGTTTATGGTTCACGTTTACCAGTATAAACAATGTAAGCGATTTATTACATAAAAAAAAGCTTTTTTTTTAAATGAAGTTGCTTTGGCTGTATTAAACTATGTCAAGATATGTCACAACAAGGACCTGACCAATAGTGTAGGCCACTTTGGAAAACAAGAGCATCAGAGGGCAGGAGCTACAGATGTTTGTGAAACTGGAAAAGACTGGGGAGAAAACAAGGGTAGAACAGAGGCATATGTCAAAGCAACAGTTTGTTACCATCTCCTGGGGTTAATCTTGGAGAAGGTGGGATATATGACCATAATGTCTGTGGTATGATGAGCCAACCAATACTGCAGCTTTCTAGGTTTTCGCATTCTAAGTCAGAATTCAAGAACCCAGAATGTTCACATTTTATGGAACTTTCTGGCAACCCTCATTCATATATGACAGAAATGTGAGTTGACTGTAATTTTCTGTTAGAATAATAATTTATGTATATCTATATAAAGGAAATGTACAAAATGTAATTCAACTACTTGTCTAAGGAAGCAAAAATATCCAGGCTGCTGCTAAATAAATGATACAGCTTTATAATGTCTTATTTTAGGACCAAATAAATGAAGTTTATCTAAACAGAAGTTTGCTTATGAGCACTTCACATTTTAAAAATAAAATTGAGAAAAAAGCATATACACAAAATAGACGTGGAGTAAATCATATTTGTATAGCTTACCCTATTCTGCAAAAACTGCTCAATGGCAACTGTATCTTGTGGTCTGGGCCATAGCCTGTCAGATCAAATATATGAGGTATAGTCCTTTACTGATGAGTACAGAGCCATGACATTATAATACTGGGAACTATAAATACCTACTATAGTACACATTAGAAACCAAGACCAATATTCCAGAGATACCTGTGCATAGACTTTCTAGGTCTATAACAACAAAAGCTTCAAGTCTAAAAGTCCATGTGTCAAACTTTGTCAATGCCAGAAATGGGTCTTATATTTGTTCAGAACCATTAAGCTTGTCCTGAAGTACAGCATTAGCAAGTTTCTCAACTGATACTGCTCCATATTTGTTGGGTCCAGTGCTCTTCTTAAAGGATTGGTTTCCATAAAAGGGAGACTACATGCTGTGCTCCCATATCTGGTAACTGGTCTGGAGTATTGCATCTAAAGGCAATCAGTTTATTGGGCCCAAGGCTTGAGTAGGAATATGGCATCCCCAAGAATATGTCCTTAAACATGGAGATTATTTTGAAGTATATTGTTAACAATTGGACCTGCTCACTTTGATGTGGGCTAGGTGCTCCACATGTCAACCCTTACAACCTCAGAATTGCTATTCTATAGGATTGGGTATCTGGGCATCCTATGCACTAGCCTGCATAGTAGGTTTCATCTGGCAGAATCTTCCAAACATTAGCCCAGATAATTCAGTTCTGACTAATCAGAACATAGTTATCAGAGGGAACACACTGAACGCATAATCCTGTCATTCAAGAGAGTGATGGAAGGAAACTTAAGGAAGCTTGCTGTAATACCTGTACATTTCCATAGCCCCAGAAGTCTCTTTTGAATACAGCTGATTGTTTTTGCATTCCAGAGTTTAAAGTGAGTGTCAGAAGTGATGGCATAAAGTCTCATTTGTAAATGACTGTGTCTGTCATTTCAAACATGTATTTATCATGGAAGTGCCCAGGGGACCAAGTGATATACTAAGCACTGTACAAACACAGAATAAGAGTATGTCCACACTGCTATGGCAAGTGTGATTGCAGCTCTGGTAGGCATAGCCTTGGAGTTAAAACCAGCAGCGAAGACGCAGTGGCATGGGCTTCAGTTTGGGCTAGCAAGCCGAATATGGAGCCAGAGGGACCAGGCAGGCTTGTAGAGCCCATGATGTGCTAGGTCAGAGGTGGGCAAACTATGGCCCGTGGGCCACATCTGGCCTGCGGGACTGTCCTGCCCGGCCGGCCCTTGAGCTCCTGGCTGGGTAGGCTAGCCCTCTCCTGCTGTCCCCCCTCCCCTGCAGCCTCAGCTCACCGTGCCACCAGCGCTCTGGGTGGTGTGGCTGGCTCCGGGCACGGCTGCCAGTCCTGCTGCTTTGAGCGGCATGGTACGAGGGTGAGGAGCGGGGAGGGGGGGTTGGATAAGGGGCAGGGAGTCCTGAGGGCAGTCAGGGGATGGGGAGCAGGGGGCGGTTGGATGGGGCAGAGGTTGTGACGGGGGAGCGGTCGGGGATGAGGAACGGGTTGGGGGTTGGATAGGCGTGGGAGTCCCAGGGGGCCTGTCAGGGGACGGGGGTGTGGATAGGGGTTGGGGCATTCAGGGCACAGGGGGGTTGGATAGGGGGTGGTGTCCCGGGAGGGGGGTGTCAGGGTTGGGGGTTCCCGGTAGGGAGCAGTCAGGGGACAAGTAGCGGGGGGGGGTTAGATGGGTGGGAGAGTTCTGAGGGGGGCAGTCAGGGGGCGGGGGCCAAGCTGTTTGGGGAGGCACAGCCTTCCCTATTCGGCCCTCCATACAGTTTCGGAATGCCGATGTGGCCCTCAGGCCAAAAAATTTGCCCAACCCTGTGCTAGGTAGATTAAAGCTATAGTGTGGGTATTCCGAGCCGAGCTGCAATCACACCTTCCATTGCAGTGTAAACACACTCTGAGACAGACCCTGCATTGAAAAGCCTCCAGTCTAAACAAACAAGACAGACTGGGCAGGGGAAAGGGTAGAACACACAAGCTGAGTGAGCAACGTGACAATGGCAAATGTCATGTTACTTCCACAAATTTTGTTTATTTATTTATTTGTGTATTTAAATCTTCTCAGTGGTGTGCTGTTACGCGGGGCATAGCTATCTGGAAAGACAAATGAAGGGAGAGAGTTGGTGCAAACAGCCAATCAGCACAGGGCAGAGCGTGGTCAGAATAAGAACTGCAGAAGGCAGTCTGGGGAAATCATCAGTTTCTGTCATTCCCTGCACAAACACATGCAGCCACTGCTCTGCTGCCTTCAAGTCTCTGGCTGGCTCCGCCTTGCCATATGTCCGTGGGGAGAGGGACACCACATGGTCCTAGTCCCCCAGAACAAGAGGTCAATATAGTTCTGGGGCCAGGAGGCTCTAGGGGTGGAAAAGATGGCTCCAGCTGGGACCCATTTTACCCCCTGCCTGCCCAGAGGAACAGTACCTACTTAAACTGCCAGCAGCCAGTGGTGGATTAACGCACAAGCCCACAGGGTCTGTGCCCAGGGGCCCTGGCCAATTTGAGGGGCCCCCATAGGAGCACCAGAATGTGTGTGGAAGTGGAGGGGCCACCTGCACTGGAACTGTAGCCCTGGCCGCTGTTCCTCCTCTGCCCCCTGGCCAGAAGCTGGAGCCACGCCATGGTAAGAGCCGCCTAGGAAGCCCAGACCCTCCACCTGCCCTGGGCAGGGGGCTGGGGTGCCTAAGAGCAGCATGTCCCCACCCCCCGGGGAGTGCAGCCCATGGCAGGTGGAGGGTCCAGGGCTCCCTGAGCAGCTCTTACTACTGCCTGGCTCCAGCTTCCGCACTGGCCAGGGAGTCGGGGCTGGGGGGGGGTGTCCCATGGTGGGGGGGGCTAAGGCCCACATCAGCCCCCCATCAGGAAGAACTAGCAGGGGCTGTGCTTCATAACAGGGGAGCTAATCACCTTATCAGCTCCCACACTGCAAAGTGCAGCCCCTGCCACCGCCACTCTGTGCCTGCCCAAGGCTACTATGCCCATGTTAAAAAATGGGGGGCCATGTCCCACTCCCCCCCCAGTTCTGGTTCCCTCTGGGGTCTGGGAGTCCAAACTGTTCTTTGTGACCAGGGCTCCAATAAATCTTAATCTGCCTCTGCCTGCAGCTGCTGGGCCACCTCTCTGCGGAATGCTTCCCAC